GACTATGTTAAAGTAGGTTATGTTTTCTCATTGTTTCATTTAGTTGTTTTGATAAAGCAAAAAAAAATCACTATAATATAATGCCAAGCTGACTTTAATTTGTCTAAAGTATGTTTGTGCTTTCATAGATAAGTTCCACTATGATGTATTTATGCATCATGTACTTCTGTTTTATAGTACTTTCAAAATGTCAATATCATACAAATCCCAACATGACAATGTGTGTGGGGTGGGGTGTGTTTGGAAATGCCCAGTCTATTCAAAGAGGAAATGATTGTATAATTGTATAATTTGAATATAAGAAGATGATTATACAAAAAAAAATTATGTATTTAAGTTATAACACTATTTACTTACAAATGGAAACGTATATAAGTTGATCTACTTATCGACGATATGACTTTGGATGGACCAGATTAATCCATTGGCTTATATCAATACAATACGTTAATTTAAGATGAGAAGTTTCACATTGGTAAAATACAGAAAAGATGTTGAGCGTATAAGTAAAGTAAGTAGGTGTTAAACACTAGAGACACATTTTTAAACTATGAGATTCTAGGTCTAGAATAGACAATACCACTATCAGATTAACTAGACTGTTACATCAATAATATAATGATGAATACTATTCGTCGTAACCTATATTAGATTAGTTTTTGAGATTCATTATACATAATTTGTGATGATAGAACTTTGGGAAGTAAGCCAATTTAATGTTCATCATAATAGACATCACGATAAGCCACTTATAGAGCCATATAAGAATGACTTGGTGACTTCTTTTACTTTGGATTAAAAATAGATATACCCTAAATTATTGTAAATGATATTTAAATATTTTTTATTATACTTTTGGGATGTTGATGTTCTTACCGTCCAAATTTAGAGGCATACATACCCATTCTACAATTGGCGGAACACGTGTCACAATGTAAAATATTTACCTGATTTTTTTTTAACCAGTACTAAAAGATCCACCCGTATTAATTAAAACCCCATTCAAAAAACATAATACCCATTCCCAAATTATAAGCCAAATTAAAAGCAATATTCGATCCCATAAGAAAAAAGTTCGTATATAAATTGCTCAAAATAATTTTAATTTTTTAATGTCGAACTTTTATATTTTACATTATATAAAATATAGATGGAAAAAAGGACTCATGAGGATTTCTCAGTCATTACATTACCAACAAAGGATTTTATGTTTAAAATAAAATAAAATCGGAGATAGAAAAAAGAAAAACGATAGAGGGAATTGTATAAGGTTGGAATCGAACCCTCATTAGTTTTGATAGTTTTTTTGTTCCAATTTATTGAAGGCATAATATATAAATATGCCCTTTAACTTGGTTTCAAATTACATTTATGCCCTTCAACTTTGGGTGTGCATAAGTAGACACTTAAACTTGTATAAAGTTGAACAAATAGACACAAATGTCATTTTTTGTCGTACGTGGTGTGCTACGTGTATTTTGCTATGTAGGACTGATGTGTTTATTTATTTAAAAGTTAGACATTTAAAGTGTCTGTTTTTGCATTATGAAAGTTGGAGGTCAAAGTTAAAATCTGAAGCTAAGTTTAGGGTCTAATATATGTATTATGTCTTTATCGAATGTTCCCCAAGGGACACCTTAATAGATTGTTCATATATGGTGCAAGCCTGTCGATCACAACATTAAACTATATTATATAATGTGTGCATAGGAAAACAAAATTTGATTTTTGGAAAATAGCATTCTACAAAGAAGGAATCCTGGATTTACAACATTAATTTCTCTAGCAACGAATACAAATTGCACATTTAAAAGTAAATTAGATTAGCTTAATTAAGCACAATGACAAACTTTTATTAAAAAAATAAATATAGACATGTTACATCCCCTGCAATTCTCCTCCAAAAAATGACAACCATAAGCACATTAATAGCTGTTTATATACAAATATAACTATATAATTAAGAGCATAATATATAGCTTATAATTCTCCAGATTTCACCCTCAAACTCTCCGACTGCTAATATGTTTGATTAAATTTTTAAAATTAATTAAATATGAAAAATAATTTCTTTGTTACTTTCTTTGTTACTATTCATAAGCATATTTTTTCTTTCAATCTTAGCTAAACAAGTCACCTATTTCAAAAATAAGTAATTTTTGACGTCCCAATGTCTCATTCAGTGGATCATCATGATGTATTATAATGCTCTTTTTCTTACTCTTTCCATTCGGAATTGTATATCATATTGCGCTTATTGAAGTTAATTTGACTAATTTTTAAATATAAATTAGATCATATTAATTTATTATTTTAAATAAAAAAAATTAAATATTCTAAAGCTACATTAAAATAAAAAGTACTATAAATTATAATTTTTTGAATATTAATATGATGAAAAAATACATCTTAAAATATTAGTCAAAATTTTAATAATTTAATTCTAATAATAAAAACCATGACAAACAATTTTAGACGGAGAGAGCGACTTGTTTGCATATTAAAGAGATTACAACTGAAATTAATTTAGAGAGCGTTTCTTTGTTTAATTTAAATTAGTAACTGTCTATTTACAGGTCGGCATGATACGGCTTCCCCTGTCCTTGCTTTCGTTTTTAGCTTTACATCGTTTCAGAGTTAGTTTAACTTGGTACGAATTTTATGAAAAAGAAAAATACATTTGATATTCATAATTTTAAATAAATAATAGATTACGTTAAAAATAAAATAGACAATTTACGTTAAAAATAAAATAGACAATTTTTAATTTTAATTTCTTAAATAATATAAAAATGTATCAATTCTCTTTTAGAAGACAAAGACACTGAACGAGTTTTGAACCTACGGTTATTTGTATCTCTATTTCATTTACGTGGTATTATTTAACGTTTGACTTAATATAAAGTTTAAAAGTTGAGTTTTTAAGAATTTATGATTTAAAATAAATTTTAGGTATTTATGTAATTATAGATGAATTTTAAAATTAAATTATTTTTGATAATAAAAAAATAACATAATTTTTTTTTAAAAAAGATTAAATTGAAAAATATATCACATAAATCAGAAAGGGAGTAGTGATAGACTTTCACTTTATGTGAATCTTTTAAACGGAAAGTTTGTCATTACAAGTCTAGCAAAATATATTTATTGGTATAGGCTATATAAATGAAGTATAAAAAGAACAAATATATACAAATTTTAATTTTATATTTTAAGTTACAAATTTTATTTTTGCTAGACCTTCTATTCTAATGGAAGACTTTACATGTATCATGAATTTGTATATGAGGTACGTTGTGTAATTCTAATTCCGTTCGTGAAAGAAATTTAATTTATATAATATTAGATTATTTTTACGTATTGTAATAAGTAACTTACACAAACTTAGATACATGATTAGTATTGATATTGCAAGCGCCATCCAAAGCGGACCCAACGTACCCCGCATTCATTAACTTCGAAGAAAATCATATATTATATATAGAGAGAAATTAACGAAAATTAGTAATAGTGTACCGTGCTACGGGTATAAGCTAGAAGATCTACGTGCAGGACTTGGATTTGAATATAACTATAATATTTTTTCATTGTTTTTATTTTAAGTTTATCTTAGATCTCATATTTGAGCTAATGTAATATTGATGAACCTAAAATCTTCAAATCCTAGGTTCGTCTCTGCTAGACACAAGATGAGAGGACCGGTTCTTTCTTATCGTAAAACCATCTTCAACTTTTTTTTCTTTGCTCTTTTCAGCACCAAAGTTGATAACACGATAGAATCTCCTTAAATAAAGAAAGGGGCATTAATGTAATTTAATTTATTACTATTTGTTAATAATCATTTTTAATAAGAGGATATTTTGATTGGTTTATTTTAAGTAACTTTTTACTTTTAAAATCTTTTTTATTTTTTGAAGACTGTTAGGAAAAAAACAAAAAAATATTTTTAAACACTTATTTTAGGCAAAAAAATATAATATAAGTTAAAAACTAAAAATTGAGTGTGATCAACTTATAACTATGAAATACTACTTAAAAGGTAACTCTAAAAAACACCCCCACTATATTGTCAATCAATGCTCATTAGGATAAGAAGTCTTAGCACCCCCACTAAATTCTCAATCCCAATTCATTTTTCTTTTGTCAAGTTTTGAAATACTAGTTCAAAGATAAACAAGGATGCTAATTAGGTCTTTGAAAAACTATTTGAGAGATATATAAGGAATTTTAAGTATAAAATATCAAAAAAAATTCTTCTTCTTCTTTTGTTATGTGAAAAGTATAGAAATAAAATTTATTTTTAAAATAAAAGAAATAATCGTCTCAAATCAAATAGTTAGATGACACCAGCACTGACTATATTAAGAATATAGTGAAAGAGAAGAGTATGGTTCAATGGGAAGGTTGAGTGGTGATGGTTCAATCACCCAACCAAAGGAAACTCCAAACACCATTGGGAAACGTTTTCCTGTCCAACAGTACAAAAGACAAACAACATATGGATTTTTTTATCTCTATTTTAACCTTTACAAACTTCTCTCATTTATTTCGTTTGATTATAAATTTTGAATTAAAATTTTAAGTTGTAATATTTGTATCTAGATATATGTATTTTAGTTTTTAAAAATTAATACATGGATAAGGGGAAAAAATGAGGAGAAAATTATAAAGTAAAGAATTGAACTTTTATCAGTAAAATGAAAGTTTATATATTCAATCGATTGAGTCATAAAGATTTTTCAACTGAAATTTCTATGATCATTTTTTGAAACTTAAAATAATTAGTCTCAAAATCTATTACTATCAAAACATAATTAATTTATGAGAAACTCTTCTATGATGTGAATAAGAAATAAAAAAGACAAACAACATAAGGACCTCTATCTCAATTTTAAGGATTGCTAAGCCCTTTTTAGCAATTTATTCATTTTTTTTTGGTTAAGTGAGAGACCTATAAGATTCCAATTTTTGTTCACCTATTTTCCCAATGAACGGCCTTGGCTTTTCCTTTATCTCAACTCTCTCTCTCTTTATATTTCCTTTCAATTTTTGGCTCTTCACAAATTATAATTAACTAGTCTTTGCATGCAATTATAATGGCTATTGATTGTATGATCACAAATGGAAAATCTCCCATGCTAGATGAAAAAAAACAATTTATTTTTGATGCATCTCATATGAAACGTGAGTCTAATATTCCCACACAATTCATATGGCCTGACCACGAGAAGCCTTGTGCCTTAGTACAACAACTTCATGTACCCCTTATTGATTTAAGGGGTTTTCTTTCTGGTGACCCCGACGCGGCCCAACAAGCATCTGAGCTTGTTGGGGAAGCGTGTCGGGGTCATGGTTTTTTTCTTGTGGTGAATCACGGAGTTGATGCTAATCTCATTTCTAATGCTCATCGTTATATGGATACGTTCTTTGAGTTGCCGCTTTTAGAAAAGCAAAAAGCTCAGAGAAAAATTGGTGAGCATTGTGGTTATGCTAGTAGTTTTACTGGAAGGTTTTCATCAAAGCTACCTTGGAAAGAGACACTCTCTTTTCGTTACTCCGCTAAGAAAGAATCATCTCACATAGTTGAAGAGTATTTTCAAAGTACATTGGGCGAAAGTTTTAACCATCTCGGGTACGAACAATACTACTATGTTTATTTGTTTTAGCTGAGTACAAGATTCAAAAAAATTTCTTTATTATTTTAATATTTTTGTCTCACTCAGAACCAAATAAACAAATTAATATATATATAAATGAGTTAACCTTTTTTCCACTTAAATTATACAGGAATGTTTATCAAGAATATTGCAATTCTATGAACACACTTTCTCTTGGGATCATGGAACTCTTAGGGATGAGCCTAGGTGTAGAGAAGAGTCACTTCAAAGAGTTTTTCGAAGAAAATGATTCGATAATGAGACTCAACTACTATCCACCATGCCAGAAACCGGAGCTCGCCTTAGGAACGGGGCCTCATTGTGATCCAACATCATTAACAATTCTCCATCAAGATTGTGTTGGTGGACTTCAAGTTTTTGTGGACGATGAATGGCGTTCCATCAGTCCAAATTTCAATGCATTTGTGGTTAATATAGGCGACACATTTATGGTAAGATATTTTTACATCGTAACAATGAAATGATATATATCATGTGTGTTTAATTAGGACGTACAACATGAATATGATGTCCACATGTATATACTCCCATTGAACAAGTTGAAATATAGGTGAGAAAATGGTTACATAACATGTTTTATTATTTTGCCCTTTTTGCAGGCGCTATCAAATGGAAGATACAAAAGTTGCCTACACAGAGCGGTAGTAAACAACAAGACTCCTAGGAAATCACTTGCTTTCTTTCTTTGTCCAAACAAAGATAAGGTGGTGAGCCCACCAAATGAATTGGTGGACTCCAACAACCCTCGAATATATCCCGATTTCACATGGCCTACTCTTCTTGAATTTACTCAAAAACATTATAGAGCTGATATGAACACTCTTCAAACATTCTCAAATTGGCTTCATGATCAACACAACACTACTACACAAGCTTAAGAGCTACAAGATTGAAGACCTTGAAAATTTTCTTTTAAATATATGTACGTGTACACGTTCTCTTAGCTTCTACTAAGAATATGACAATGTATGGGAATTAGGGGGAAGAGGCACAATGGAAATGTTTCTTTCAAAAATTTCACAAGAAGAATGAAAATTTCGAGTTAAAAAAAAAGAAGTAAATATAGAGGAGATAGGGAAGGACAAGAAAGGAATAAGCGTTGTATAACTTAGTTTTGTTTATTTAACGTATTGAAAAAAAAATGTAGAGAAGATTATGAATAGCTAGCTTTACTGGTATCCAATGTATGCATCCCTCATTAAGAGAGAACTTTTGAAACCTCTTCATTTGATCTTTTGTTTCTCTTCAAGCGTCTCAAGCGAATTATGATCTAAAAATGAAAATCAAATGAAGGCTTTAAATTTTTTAAAACAAATTATATATTTTTAACGAAATTTCTTTCTTCTAGATTTTTGAGATTGAAAAATAGTTATACTAACTTTTTTAATGATTCTTTTTAAATTGATGATATAGTTAAATCCGTTAAGTCTTTCTCTGAGATAGTATTCTAAATGTGTGAAATAGTACTTACTCAATATTTTTTTCTAAAAAAAAACAAAAACTATAACCTATTATTATTAAAATAAAATAAAATGGAACCCATTAAATTTGGAGGTCTTAAGTATCTTTGCTGCTCCTTTACGCAGAGCAACTATAAAATTATCTTCATTTCGAATCAACAAATCAACGATTGACATTTAATATTAGGATAAATTACATGTCTACATTACATATTTTAGAATGTGACCTTTTTTCAAACCTTGCAGGGTAGTTAAACATTATAGTTTTTAGAAAATGCCACAAATTAATTTTGTATGGACTTACTTGATAGCATAAAATTGATACTATTAGATGCATCGAAAAGTTTGAAATAGAAAGAGATGAAGGGGTCCACGTAGGGAATCATTTCAAAATACTAATAAGTCCAGAAGTAAGAAAGAGAAAATGAGTGGAGAGGTAAAATAAAATCCAAAATACGTATTAATATTTATATATACATAGCTTTCAAAAATTAGGATATGGATTCTTGTGCAAGTGTGTTTGTTTTTATTCTTGGCATTTTATTTTATATCTGGAGATTTGGATGTTTGTGACTTTATGGAATGCTAAGGAACACTGTCTTGCTCTTTGTCCTTGTATGCTGCAACATTCTTCCTACCATATAATTAATCCAAATTGATCGAAAAATAAAAACTAATCTATAGTTTTATTTTATTTGTAAACTATACTAAATTATTTGTAGAGGGAGGGCTAGTCCCTACGTAATTCCAGCCTCATATTATCACTCCCGTCGCTTTTGTGTTTTTGTCCGTATTATGATTTAAAATTGATATTACTTTTACTGATTATAAGAGTCGATTCGACTAATTTGAAAATGAAGTTGTATTTAGTGATCATTTGGTCATCTTTCGTTATGACTTCGTTTTTTTATTAAAAAAATTGTATTTGAAAGTTGGATTAAGTTGTGTTTGACCATGACTTTTTGTGAGTATTTTAAAGTGAAAAATATTTTGTTATTATTCGAAAATTCTAAAATTCAATTTCAAGTTGAACCACTAGGCTTAATTTGGAGCCATATGGCTAATCTATGTTAAACATGTTCTACAAAGGGAAAAATTGAACAACTTCAGTAACGCAGAAGGTTAGATCTGATCCCAATTGCCAATGGAGAAATTTTTTTTTGAACCATATAGCATAGTTAAGTGATAAATATGAACTTTTTTTATGTTTGTTTAATTTGTGGCGGAATGACTTTGGAGATCTCTGTACTTAATTCTGTTGGTCACATAGGTCTTTTTACTTACGATTTTGCCAAATGAACCTTCGAACCCACTAAATCACAATATTTTAAATCCTTTAAGCTTCGCCTGCACTTCAAACACACAATTAAAATAACACTTCATCATTCACGTCAGATTTTTAATGACACGTCATTTATTTTTAATTTATTTAAAATTTTCAATTTCTATTTCTTTTTTCACTATGTTTCTCCCTCACCATCTCTATCCTTGACTACCTCTTTCCGTTTTTTACATCAAAACACACTCTTGCAGTCTTACATCGATCCTTACCTGAATCATTGCCTTAAATAATTATAATCCATCGTTCTTCTCCAAATTTTCATCATTCACAACTTGTTTCGACGGGATTAGGTCCTCAACACAATTACAATAAGAAACAGTAAGATAAGTGCTGAAAGTAAAGATTGACAGAAAACTTTACGTGGAAACCTCCTTGCTCTAGGAAGGAAAACCATGACTTGTGTTTCAAACTTTTTCCACTAATCTTCTCCAGCAAAAGTAAAAGTCAGTTTACAAAATGAGATTAGCCTGCTAATCTCTACACTAAGCAATATTTTCTATCACTTAGCTGAGCCAGAGTAGACACAACACTATCCACTATGCTAACCATCACCGATTAATATAGATTTCTCTAAGCAGATACCACATCGCCCGCTAAACCACCATCCTCTGGATGATTTAAATTTTGACTAAGAAATAAAAATGTTGCCCACTAAATCACCTAACTCTAGATGGCTTAGAATTTTAGATTCGAAACAAAAGTTGAATTCTTTATATATTAGGATCAGATTACATGAAAGCACATAAGACACAGAGCTCTAAATACAACAATGACTCTTCTTCACTCTATCAGGTTCATTTGTTGAGTTGAGCAATGTTCTTCCTTGAAGAGGCACTTTTGCGAAGATCATTTTTGTGTTGTCCTTCCACACACGCAAAGACCCTTAATAGAAATTCTTTTTAAAATTGGGGTTTCAACCTTATTGCACCATATTTTGGGATACCGACTCATAACTTAAATTCATTTACCCATTGTTATTTATGATGTAATTAAGCGTTCAAAACAAGATTTTGAAATGATTATTGGATTTTCTTCAAGAACCCAAAAGTTTAGTAAAATGGAGATTATGGACTATTTTTCAATCCTTTTTCGAAATGGATTTCTTGATGAGTTTTAAATATCTTGGGTTATTTTTTAAGTAATTATTTTCAAATCCAGACCTCATTTTTGGAATTGGGGTCTTGAGTTGTTTTGACCCATTTTTCTAAAGTGTTTGCTTTGGGTGTTATTATTTCTGGAATCTTATAATTGTTACTGGATTGAATTAGCTTATCTGGATTTGGACATTTTTCGAAAAGGGAAGACTCACTTTGATTTATATTTTGAAAAATGATATCCTGAATCTTGTAAAATTGGTAGAATCGTGTATCTCATTTCATTTGTGTGTGTCGAGAAGTAATTGGAATGAGGTGATGGGTTCGATCAATTATTTCATTTGATTATATAAAAGAATAAAGGAGGATTAATGAAAAAACAACATATTGATCATAATACTTTATGAATTTGCCTTGTTGTGAACCTTAATGTGATGATTGATGAAATGATTTGATGACATTATTGTGGACTTGATTTGCTTAAGTTATTGTCTCTTTCCTGTGTGAAATTGCTTACTTTCATTGATTTGTAACCACCGTGATGAAACTTGCGATGATTATTGATGTCGAGGTTATTTTTGGCGAGTAATATTGATGTGGAGGTCATTGTCGATAAGTGCTACTGATGTCGAGGTCATTTTCGATCAATGATATTAATGTCATTGCCGATGAGTGCTATTAGTGTTGAGGTCATTACCGACTAGTTTATGAACTATAGGCGGTTCCCATGAATTCCGATTGATATTGTGCATGATATATTTGTGATTTTGTGCTTAGTGTGCTCGATTATTATGCTTTAATGATCTTTCTACTTGTGATTGATCTATATGATATTTGTGATTGTCATACTTGCTACTTGAAGGTTGTTGAATAGTGACTACTAGAATATGATCATACAAAAGTGTGAACTGTGTATTATGAGTTGTGACATTGAGTTGATTCCTATGTAGGTTGTTGTTTGAAAAGGTTCAATTGGGATAAAGTAGTGCTCGTTTTCTTGCTAGTTTTGCTTTGTTTATCAGGTTACTTGTTGGGTACCGTATTATTTAATTTGGTACCCTCTCCTTGCTTGTATACTTGTGTACGTTCTTAATTTGATTTTGTGTGATTGCTCTTTTTCTTCCCTGAGGCTTGTTGAAGGACTTGATAGGCTTGCTCTTTTTCCTTTATGTCATGTTTTGTTCTACTTGAGAAACAAAGACATTGAGACTTGTGTTTAATTTTCATTTCTGCACCTTATATATTAGTGACTTGTACACGTGACAACCAGATATTGGGAGTTATATTTGAATGACTAAGTTTTCTGTCTTTTTGTTATTCTTGCTTTACTTTTCGCATTTCATTCGTTTCGTTGTATTGAAACTGACTTTTCTTGATGGAAACAGACAAGTGTCATCACGTCTGTTTTTGGATCATGATAGTTAGCTTAAAAACTAGATAAATACATAAATTATAAACTTATTAGCATATAATGTGCTTCATTAGAATTGTCGAAGCCCTAATACAACTTCCATATCGTTCGCCCCTCTGATTGTCTTTTACTTGGTCATGAACTCTACTATTTCATATCGAACTACGAGGTTTCCACACCTTTTGTAAGTACAGACTGACACGCCTATCTTATCCTTATCTTACTTGGCTACACTTTTGGACCCAAACGGGCCTTACCGGCTAGGTATTGGTTACGGTGTCGTTGACTTCGAAACCTTTCCTTCGGAGATATGTTACTTAATGATTCGCTTATTCTTGCCACATGTCGTCACATCATTCGTCGAACCGATGCAATTATTTTAGAGAGGGATGAGAAGGCTTCATAAGTAAGGACAAGGATATATAGTGGCTTTCTCATACTAGGGTTCCCAAAGGGCCGCTTCACGTGGCAACCTTTGTTTTTTGTGTTGGCTTATGTTTGTTGTTATTATTGTACGTAGGCTGTATTATCCCAAAATTGCACATTTCTTTGTCTTTTGTTTCCTCCTCTCTAACATAACACGACATTACTTAGGATTTTTTTCATGGATTCCTGTTGTCCTATTCCTTAATTCTCATTTGTCTCTATTTGCACCATCTCTCTTTTATTGTGACATTAATTTCAATA